CTTGCATCTGTTTTATGTGTTATTTATTTGCAACTGATCGGCCCTGTCACCTTGCTTGTTCTTAGGATATAAGAGCAGTGAGACAAAGCGGAGCTGCTCCGGCCTCCCGGGGACATGTACAATAACACACCTGACAGGGGCATCGCTGAGCTATTGTCTTTTGCAGTTAGGCTGAGTGAGTCAGAGGCAAGGAAATGTCTCCTTTTAGACATGGCCTCGGGACAATGGGTGTCATTTGGATGGGCGGGTTTGACTTGTATTTTAATGCTCTGCCCTTCTGTCCCATCTTCCATCCCTAGGCGTGGAGGCTCTTCACAAGCACTAATGAGAGAAGGCTCACAGCACCCCTGTGAGGCGGGTCAGTAGCATTACCCCCATTTTGGTAAACTGTGGGAAACCGAGGCACAGATTGGTTAAATGCCGTGCTTGAGGTCACAGAGTGTATGTTACTGTGGCACATGGGGACCTCAGCTCAGTATCGGATTGTCCAGAGGGCACTGAATAGACAGTAAGAAGCAGCTCCTACTCTGCTAGGCTTGCAGTCTAAATTGATACAACAAAGTGTAGGAGAGAAACAGAGGTTTCCCCATGTTCGCAGAGCAGTCTGCAGCAGATAAAGGAATAGAATCCATATCTCCTGACATGCCATCTACTGTTCTAGTCACCAGACCTCTCCTGCAGCAGACCATCTTGCCTACAACATGGCTTTCAAAATCATGATAAGGGAGGATGATCTGTGTTTGGTGGGAGGGAAATAAAGTTTCACGAAAGGGTTCATTTTCCCATATGCCATTTCTCTTTGTTGGTGTACCAAAGAAATGAGCTAACGAGGCCTGTTTGCTTGGATGGTACAGACTGAAGTGTGTCTATGCGTGCGATTGATTTTCAAGTTTATATACAGCCGGGGTCTTTGCAGTTCTGCTGTCTACCACAGGAGGTCACTCAGGTTTAGCAGATTGGACAGCAAGCGAGAAGGCGGGTGAGGTAATATCTTATATTGGACTGACTTCTGTGGATGAGAGAGACACGCTTTCAAGCAAGTGACGGTTTGCAACCCGCTGTGCTTTGAATCTTCACAATTCATGATTCATCGTGCACAGATTCATGGTCAGATCGCTGCTGGGTGTAGGCAGGCATATGCCATGCATGCCAGACAGCATCACAAATTCTCAAGGTTAGAGTTACTCATGGTAACTGACAGATTTTTTTCCAGGTAGGCTTTTGTTAACACTACTTCAGATCTGTGTCTAGCTGTGCATGCTTTGCTATTATCCTTACGTAGTGTATGTGTTACACTGGCACCCAGAGGCTCCAGGCAGCACTGAAACTCTGTTGTGCTAGGTGCTGTACATGTAAATGGTGCTTGCCCTTTAAATATAGTTACTTGGAGTCCAATTGTCTGCCTGTCTGGGGAATTATGGGTATACCACCATGAGTTAATGGCTACGGGTGGGCAGCGGAGGCACACATTTCAATTTACTAGCTATACCCCTAAACCTACAAGCAAGAAACAACCTGGAAGAGTCAGACACAAACTTTTTCAATTCTCTGTTTGAAAAAGTCTGTTGAAGCATGTTGGAAAGATCACAAATGAGAGCAAAGTGTGGGATTTATACTTCAATGATAATTGTCAGGAAAGCAAATGTCTGGGACTGTACATTGCCAGGTACATCAATACTAGAGCCAGAAATGGCCACAGACATGCAGATAATCCAGGACCAGAAATATTCAAGAGTGCAAGTACATGGAGCCACAAATAGCTTGTTTTCAGTGAAGATGGATTTGCTCACATTGCATATTTGCCTGCCACAGGGATGGAGTTCAGGGAACTATTCCCCATTGTAGCTCACATTCCCTCTTGTGGTTTACTAGCTTTCCGAATGCACTCACTTTCCCCCCAAATCTTTGATGGATGGTTCTAAACTGCAGCACAATCTCTTCCACCTTGCTTTTTGGATTTATAAATTGATAGAGATTCTCTGCAGCATCCAGAAGTCATAAGTTAATAAATTAGATGCCAATATGACAGGCACATATTCCAAACAAGGAAAGGTTTAAAAACCAGACATGTTTTTTTCTTTACAGAAGAAGACTGAGGGGGACCTGATAACAATCTTCAAATATGTTAGGGCCTGTTAGAAAAAGGGTGGAGACCTATGTCTGATGAAGGAAGGACAAGAAGTAATGGGCTTAATAGACAACAAGGAAGATTTAGGTTAGATATTAGGAAAGACTTTTTAACTCTACAGGTAGTTTAGCTCCAGAACAGGCTCCCAAGAAAGGTGGTGGAATCCCTGTCATTGGAGGCTTTTAACAGCAAGCTGGACAAACATCTGTCAGGGATGGTCTAGATCGGGGTGGGCAAGATACCTGTAGTGGGCTGGATCCAGCCCACCAATCCACCAAATCCAGCCTGCAGACCACCCTGCCTGGACCCTCAGGCAGGCAGCAGCTGTTTTAAATGCAGGGCTGCTCCCTATGCCACTCTGCTCTTGAGGGAGGAGGAGGTTTCAGGTGATCTCCCTATCCCTAGCCCCTAGAAATAACCAGCCAATAGGAACTGACCCCAGCCAATCTCTCAGTGCCTATTGGCCAGCAACAACCAGCCAAAAGGCACTGAGAGATTGGCTTGGGGGCTGGGGCTGGGGCTAGACTGGGCGGGGCGACGATGACAATGATGCAACGCAATGCAACGCAAGCCTCTCCCCCTTCCTGGAGCTGGGAGCCACGTAGGGTGAGCAGCTGCAGTTTAATGCAGTCTGGGGCAGCAGCAGGCAGGGCGTCCAGCATATCTTGTAGGGTCTGCAGGGCTGCTGGCCAGGCAGGAAAAGCCTGCCTCTGGCACCCCAGCCCCTCCTACATCTCAACCCCCTCCCCCAGGTCACTATCCAAACCCTCTGCACACACACACCCCCCCGCCCCAAGTCACAATTCCCTCCCAGAACCTACACCCCCTCCTTCATCACTCCCCCAGGCCAGAATACTCTCCTGCACCCAGAGCCCCTCCCTGACCCTGCACCCCATTCCTCTTCCCCAGAGCATAATCCTTCCTTCACCCAAACTCCCTCTCAGACCCCACACTGTCTCCCGCACCCCAGTCTCTTACCCTGTGCACCCTTCTGCACCCAACCTCCATCCTAGGCCCTGCGTCTCCGCAACAGAAATGTGGGGCCGTTGACCTGCTTTCCACTTTCCTTCCTCAGCAGAGGAGGCTGGACTTGACAATGTCTCAAGGTTCCTGGAAGAGCCGGCGCAGAGCGATCTGCGGATGCGCAGAGCACAGAACCACGTGAAATCGTACGGCTGGCAAGCGGGGCTCTCCACCACTTGGCGAGCCCTAATAATGTATGTAACCAAATAAACATCCACGTGCACAATTCTCGGACTCCAGGATAATAGTAGCTTTCCATAACTTTAGAGTGAGGTACTTGTATCGTGGGGGTGGGAAGAAGTGAGGCCCATATCCAAGAGCATTACTACTCTGGGGAAGATACCTGACTATAGGGCAAGGTGTGAGGAGGTGGGGCTGCATGGGCTGGGCTGCTCTGTTCATTTGCTCGCTTGGCTGGGACAGGGTGAATTTCTCCATTTCTAGCCCTGGAAAGGCTGTTCAGTTCAATGCAATTATCTGGCCACCAGAATCAGATGAAGCTTTAGCTCTGGAGTTATTCCACAGTGTGAATCGTGAGATTTTAGTTGCTATAGCAACTGAATTCAGGCTTCAAAAATAGTAACAGATTTTTTTTCTTCAGTTTGCCTTTTGCCCTCAGAACCCAATCTATTTTGGTCCTGACAGTTCATTTCAGGTGTTCTTTGCCAATGAACTCTGTGGCTCCGCATGGGGATGGGCTCCCATGGGGACCACACTTTCAGTTCATTAAGCATTATTAGTCATCTTTTTTTTCCTTCTCTAAAAATACCTGTATTATGTCTAATGAAAGATAAAGGAGCAAACAGACATCCCTAAAGAGCCCTGGAAAAAGCTTTTGCACAGTCATGAAAACTGGAGAAGCAATTTGAAATAAAATCTCCAGTTGTGAGCAGCAGGAGTCTAGGAGCAGCTATCAGAAATGGCCTTCATGCGAGTTTTGGATCTGAGGTCTCGGTACTGTGGTGCCAGCTGTTAATGGTAAGAGAAATAGATCAGAGAGATACTCTGGATTTATCCCTTTTCCTTGCCCTCTGACTTGTTCCATCTAAAGGCAAGATGTAATAAATTTGTCCACTCCATCCACTTGGGCTGTGTTGGGTATGACTACAAATGTAGCAAACTGACAGCACTTACGGTATACCCAGGAGCACTTTGGGCACTATATCAGAGAGCCCTCAGGAAGCCACACCACAAGTCAAACAAATTTAAAAAAATCCCAAACAAGCAAAGAAATGTGGTGCAGGATCATCTATGTATCCCTTTTCTTTCTTTTTCTTGACCACTGACTGTTGTCCATTGGTTCGTGCTGTCCCAATAGGGTTACCAATTTTGGTGGAATGTATTCCTGGAGATTTCATTACATCACAAGCTTCCTGTTGTGATTCAACCAACTGCTTTGAGTTTTGTATTTTAGTTGGAGGGAGCCAGGTGACACGGTGGGTCAGCAGAGGCCATGGTTCAAATCTTCCTGATGTCATCTGTTAAATCAATTTGAAAGTCTTACCATAGGACTTAGCACTTAATCTACTATGGCATCACAAAATCCCCATAGGATTTACTCATTAGCACGCTCTGTTAAGAGAAATTTAGGAATAGACTATCTGGGAATGCTGCTTGCCAAGACTAAAGCTGACCCTACCAATGTTCCCTCTAATTTTTTTCTATTCACGTGTGGAATAAATTGTATGATGTGTACCTAGACATGTGTGGATGTGCACCACCAGTAGAAACACATGCTGTTTGCTGTGGCAGTGATTCTCTGATAGTCAGGAGGGTGGCACCTGTACCTCTCCTGAGTGACTAACCAAGCGCACAGCTTACAGGGACCTCTGATACCTACATATGGAAGCTAGGGGAGCAATTCCCAGCTTTCATAGACATACTCATGCTAGTTCTTATCAAGGCAGCGTGCTAAAAACATTAAAGGGTAACCACAGGTGCACAGGCTAACAGCCTTTAGCCATGTGGGCCATGCTAAAAGGCTGTAACAGTTTAATGATAACATTTTTAAATCAATAATGAAAGCGGTGTGACAGCTGTGTGTAGACAAGCCCTTCTATCCTTTAAAAACTGGTCATATCCATATAGATGCCTTCTCTACATTTTCAGAAGCAAGATGCAATCAATTTAAGAACCTCCATGCACAAAGCTTCACTCATTTAACTAAACTGATTTAATAATCACACCTAAGGCTAAGCTTACTTTTTTGGCCAAATATTACAAGATGGCCTCGTATACACACAGAATTTGCGGCACTTTCACTAAAACTATATTACTCGTCCTCTTTTTCTCTTTCTCCAAAAATGCCTGTATTATGTCTAATGAAAGGTAAAGGAGCAAACAGACATCAGTAAAGAACCCTGGAAAAAATTTCTCCACAGTCACGGAGGCTGGAGAAACAATATGAAAAAAAGCTCCCAAGTATGAGCAGCAGGAGTCTAGGAGCAGCTATCAGAAATCACCTAAACTGCTCCACATATTGATTCCGTGAAACTGGTTCAAACCCCCTATGTGGACCTGTTTACCTCAAGTTTATACACAACTGGTTTATATCAACTTGCATTGATACATAAGAGCAGGAAGATTTCGTACTAAATAATGTTTTAGGGCCATTCATGTGCAGGGGGAAGTCCACAGAAAGCAATGGAGTTAGATGTGAATGAAATTGGGACTAGTGGAGAATCAAGCCTGTTAACTGTTTTCCTGGAACTTCCCCTCCAGCATCAGAGCAATACCAGGTCATGTTTCTCCTGATTTTGTGTGTGTGTGTGTCGCCTTTAAGACCCTGTGCGCCAGCAAAGCCAACCTCTTTTGTTGAATGGAAACAAGCAGAGCTACTCCTCCTCTAATTCTGTTCAGGCTGGCTCCTTCTGTTCATGGCAGTTTTCAGCAGCATCTAAGAGGGTATTTTTTAGTGGATGTGGGAAGGAAAGAGACAGAGAAAAGGAGAGGGATCCCACCCCTTCCCCCCCATCTTTTAGGCTTTATATCAGAATAAGCTCCTCCCCTCCCCCCCAACTATTCAAGGAAGGAGCAGAGCAAATGTGTCTGTGTGAAAGACCAGTCTCCAGGGCATTCAGCCCAAGCATATCCATTAATGCATGTTAGGGGGAGGGGAAGAGATCCAGAGGCACAGCAGTCACAGAGGGAAGGGAGAGGCCTTGCCTGAGAGGCAAAGAAAGGGAGAGTGATGGAGGCAGACAAAGGGGCAGGAGCCAAGGTTCCCAGCCCTCCAGCAGCACCATTCTGTGTAGTGCCCTGCTCAGCTAACTGTTGTGCCCCGGCCGTCACAGTCCCTCCCCCCGTCCGCCCCGTCCGCCCCGCTCCCACGGGCTGTTTATAAAGAGTCTTGACTAGTTACAGCTCTTGACTGAGATTCATGCCCTGATAAAAAAGGTGCATTTAGTTTGAAAGGGGAGAAACCTCCCTTCCTCCATCCCCAGATGAGGCAGCTCCGGGAGAACGGTACCTCCTAGAATGCAGCTCCAGATGTCTCCAGAGCAGTGCCTTCTGCTGCCCTCCCGGCACCATCTCCCAGCATCCCAGCTCAAGACAGGGAAGGGGCCCAGCCCTGGGGGAAGCAGGAGTCCTATGCAGAAAAGAGTCACCTCCTCAAAGTACCTGCGAAGGCGAGGAAGGCCATGCCCTCGCTGGGAGCAAGGGAAGCCGACTAAGGGCTCCATGTCTGGGGAAGCACTGAGTGATTCTACCCATCATCAGCTGCTCACTCCCCCCTGCCTTCCCCCGTCTGTCTCTGTCCATCTGTCTGCAGCTCCACCCTCGACATGCTTTAATTACATTTTAAATTCAAATCGGCTGCTATTTGATCCGCTGGGTGTATTTATAGCTCTGCTCAAGCTGGCTGTGTGGATAAGGCAGGTTGGGCAGGTTGCTGTGACATGTGGGGCAGGAGGGGATTGCTCGTTCGCTTGCCTTCTTTTCCTCCTCCCCGTTGGATTATTATTTTGCAGCAGGACCCATGTCTCCTCCCGCCCTCCCTCACACACACACACACACACACACACACACACACACACACACACGCTCTCTCTTAGGTTTCTTTTGTTTTTATTGTATTATTCTCTTGTGCAACAGGGGGCGGGAGAAGCAAAGGGTGGCCTTGATTTTTTCTCTTTAGCATTTTAAACACACACAGAGTGTTTGGGAGAGAGAGCAAGAGAGAGCGAGAGAGCTGGTCCTTAGGACTGTGAGTTGCTACCTCCACATGCCTGAGCCAGCAGACAAAGCAAGCGCGGATGAAGTTGATACAGTTACCCTGGGGGTCGCCGTTTCCTCCTTGGGTCAGAGGAATCACAGAGACTCCCCTGCCCCCTGTCCGCTACTGAGCTGAAAAATCTGTCTCTGGGATATAACCTGCTGCTCTTGAATTTCCTCCTCTCCTCCCTGCCTCACTCTGCTTCTTCCTCCCACCTTCCCGCCTCTCTTCAACACTGTCTGGACCAGAGCTGGATTCTCATGGACCTTCCAAGATGTTCATGTCCAGAATCCTGGATTTTCAGAAGACAAGATATGCCAGGTAAAGCCAAGTGGCTGTGTTCTTAATTCCTTTAACTGAACCATGTTGCGTTGTGTTTTGAAACCCTCTAGGATCCCTCCCAACCCCTGCCCTTTCATAGAGGAAGTAAGGATTGAATTCCTGGTTGGCACTTTCAGGACACTGCAAATTAAGCTGACAGCGGAGTTTGAAAGATGCTCAGCTCCTCAGAGCACAAGGCACCTGCAGGGCTGACACCCCTGCTTTGTTTTCCAGGTTTAATGATAGTCCTTTGCACTTTCATAGCACCTTTGTAGACAAGAATAAATTCAGCCTCATGACACCTCTGTGAGATAAGTATGACTAGTCCCATTTCACTGGTGGGGAAACTCAAGCAAACGTGGCCACTGATCGTTGAGTCTTTCAATGTTTGGGTGTCCTTCTTGGGACACTTTGACCCATGATCACCCTTTGGAGTTGTGCACCTCTTAAAAATTAGCCCCCCCTTCCTCCCCATTCCCAGAAGTCTCATTTGGATGGGGCACCCACTAGCCACTTCTAAAAATGTGTCTGTACATGACTTGCCTGAAAGTGTCATGGACTTGGGAATAGATTTCTGGTTAGCAAGTTCCCAGATCTGGGGCTTGACTTCAAGGCCATCTTTCCCGCCAGCTCAAAGAAGATGCCGATGACCAGAAGTATCTCCTAGAGGGGCACAAGCCATAGTGTGACAGACTGACATTTTGCAGAGCTGGCCCCATAACAAAACCCCCATGGACTTGAACACAACTCTAAGAGAATTGCAGGACCTTTCTTCCTTTTGTATTGCTTCTGTTAAGGGCAGGCAGGGATCCTAGTGGGTCTCAGGGACTTTGGGATTGTGTATGGATTTTGGAAGAGTATTGGTGGAACTGGCTGATTGGCTGTCTCACAGATCCAAAAGGACAGCTTGAGTTGTCTGTCTGTGATGTAGCTGCTTCCTACAGAGAGTTGGATCTCTGACCCTTCCCTTAGTCTGGGACAGGTTCCCATGCAGCACAATCTCCCCCAGTGCTGGCAACTTTTTCTAATAGCTCAGGGTATGAATTTTCTATGTGTCCAACCAATATACAGAGAAACTCAGGGCATTACACATGCTCAAAAAAGGTGAATTCTGACAGGACTAGGTACAGAGAAGAGGTATTAGAATGATCAGGGGACTAGAGATCCTATCTTTTCAAGAGGAGACAGAGAACTTGACTTGTTGAGCCTCGCAAAATGAAGGCTTGTTCTCTCTGAATACATTTGGGGGAGAACACCAGACAGAGAGAAGAGCTATTTAAGTTAAAGGACAATGTTGGCAGAGGAACGAATGGGTACAAACTGGCCATGAATACACTAAGATTGGAAATTAGAAGGTGGCTAACTATCAGAGTGAGATTCTGGAACAGGCTTTCATGAGGCGTGGTGAGGGTAAGGAATGTAACTACTTTTAATGGGGGTCATGATGCCTTTTTGAACAGGACAATATGATGATGGGGGGTGCCTTCTGTGTTCCCAGCAAGTTGTGTGCTTGGACGGTCACGCAGGAGACATTCAGATGCCACTCAGCTGATAACGAGAGTGCCCAGAGCAGCTCCCAGTCAGCAACATGTGTTTCTATTGGTGGTGCACATGCCTTGGTGCATATAACAACATTTATTCCACACGTGGATGTAAAAAATTAGAGTGAACATTGGTGCCCTGTGCTCGCATAGTATAGGACTCAATGGCTCAGGAAATACCTTTCAGTCCCATGTCCTATATTCCTAAGTAAATTGCAACAGAAAATTATTGTCAGGCATCTCAGACAGGAAATGCAATGTACACCTGAATTGTTCATTTTAACCCTGAAGACAGGCATAGTGAGTCAAGTAGAAAGTATAATCACTGTCATAGTATCATTTGTAGCCAGACATAAAGTGATGTTGCAATGGAAAGGCTCTGGGGGTATGTCTACACTACCCCGCTAGTTCGAACTAGCGGGGTAATGTATGCATACCGCACTTGCTAATGAAGCCCAGGAAATTCAAATCCCGGGCTTCATTAGCAAGTGCGGTATGCATACATTACCCTCCTAGTTCGAACTAGGAGGGTAGTGTAGACATACCCTGTGAGATGGTGTTTGAAAACAGAACTTCTCAGTGAATTCAGTGAATGGGGAAAGAAAGGCATCAAACAGTCCGTTAAGCCTGGCTCCTTTATGCACAGTACTTGGGCATTACAAGCAACGGCAGTTCAAGGTTCCTGCACCCAGCTCCTTAGCCAGGGTTTCCTAAGTTAGCCCTGACGTGTGGGAAATACCTGAGAGAACAGTTCAGTGGTTGTGTTTGTTCGGTCCTTAGCCTCTCTCCCTGCTGCACATGCCAGTTCTTGTGCGGGGGGTGGTTTCTGTGATGTGGAGAAAGAGCTGCTGACTTGACAAATTCCAAATGGCTATCCAATTCCTGTCGCAAAGCCGGTTTCCTCATCCCTTTGTCTCAGGAACCGAGTATACACAAATCCTGAATGAAGACTCTCTTCTCTTCCTTCAGAGGGATTTAAACACCACGTTCCTACTGACAAAATTGAAGCTGTACTGCTCTCCTCCTGTTTACACATGGGAAACTGGGTGAAGCACATGATGCTTTGTAACCTCCTTGTCCAGTACAGATCCCTTTTTAATCATCAGGAGACTGCACAAGGGCTTTTTCCCCCCTTTTTACAAAGGGCAATAGGAAGGTGATCAGATGAATGAAATGATGTCAGTTTTCTGGGCTCCAGACCAAAGCATATTTTGGAAGCCGCTGGAGCGAGCCCGCTTTAGAAAATCCCTCTCTGTCCAGTTAGAGAAACTGATCTGCTAGATATGACTGAATACACTTTTTGTCCCACAAGTGTTGCTTGTTGAATGAGTTGCTAAGCGCCCATTGTTAGGACAGGCACAGTGGGGGATGTGAGTGGAATGAGCCTTGCTAACTGACAGGAGGGGCAAGGTTCCTTTCTGTCTTCTCTTTTTTCTTCTCAGACAGGATTAGGGAGCCGGGGAAGCAGGACAAATGAGCAGCACTGGAACTTTTAGTGCGTGAAGATAAATCTCCTCCCACATGTAACCTAAGGGCCTGGCTTTTGTTTTTCAAAGTCTTTTTGCTGAAGTCTTTGGATAGTTCTTCCTGGAGCATAAATGATACAAATATAGCCCACTGACTAATTGAGTGCTAGAACTGCCATGCTGAGCTGGAGACCTGAGTTTAAATGTCTGGCTTGGCAAGATCTGGAAGGGCCAGGGACCAGAAGAGGAAAGGCTTGTGATTCAGGGATTGGGTAGCGAGCCCCCTCAGTACGTTAGGAATCACAGCTGAAAAGGAGCTCTCCATCCATCCCATCTTGGCTGCATTTTATAAATAGGGACAGGTGTAGCCTGGCCTCTTGGGGAGGCATTAGATGCATCTTGATACCGGTTGTAGAGTGGGGAGCTTTCACTCTTGTGGCATTGATTCCTCCCACCCCTTCGCCAGAGTAGCATAAATTCTTGATCTCATAAAAGGAATTTGGAACTGATTTTTTTTTGTGGGGGAGGGATTTCTTTTGTATTATCTGATTCAAGAGACGCAAGGAAGGAAGAGATTCATGTCGACTGGTCATTAATAAATGCACTGGAAAAACAGCCAGATGAAAGACCTTAGCAAGAGAATTAGATGAAAGGCAACAATCAAAGTGGGAGTGGTTTATGAACTGCCAGATAAGACAGGAGGCTGTCCCTTGCTCAGGAGGCAAGAATGTTAACCAAGGGTACGTCTAGACTACCGCGTTTTGTCGACGGAAGTTTTGTCGACAGATACTGTCGACAAAACTTCCGTCGACAATTTGCGTCCAGACACATGGAGTTCTGTCGACAAAGCAAGCCGCTTTGTCGACAGAACTCCGTAGTCTGGACACAGTGTTACAGGCAATAACACCTTCTGTCGACAGAGTTCTGTCGACAGAAAGTGTTATGCCTCGTAAAATGAGGTATACCAGCGTCGACAAAACCGCGGAGTTCTGTCGACGTTATGTCGACAGAACTCCGCGGTAGTGTAGACGCTGGTATTGTTTTGTCGACAAAAGTCCACTTTTGTCGACAAAACTAGGTAGTCTAGACACACCCCAAGATTCAAGCAGGGTTGGCCTGCTTCTAAATGTTGTGTGGCTTCAGGAAGAGAGGGAGGATGGCAAGAAAGAAAGAATTTGAAGAAAGTCTATAACAGCTGCAGAGAAGAAACTGAATTTGATTCCATTCCATGAACAAGAAAGCCCTGAATTCCCAGGTAGTGCTGTTCAGCCAGATCATTAAACAGGTCCCTTGGAAGTGCCTTCTGCTTTATTCCAATTTCCCATGAGAGCTGCCCCTTTGGCACTAGCATGTCAGGTTCTCCCAATAATCTGACAAGAGGGCTCCCAAGGAAAGCTGAGCACTGTAGATTGAAAGTGGCTCTCACAATAGAAAGGAAAACCAACTTCATAAGAACAGCCATACTGGGTCAGAACAAAGATACCTAAAAGGGTGTCACAGGAGGGAGGGGGGGAAATTCTTCTCCTTTGAACTAGCGGAGCGCTAGTGTAGCGCATAGGAAAGTTAGTTCGAACTAACGTCCGTTAGTTCGAACTAACTTTCTAGTGTAGACATACCCAGGGTGGTTAAACACTGGAATAAATTGCCTAGGGAGGTTGCACTGGAGATATTCAAGACCAGGTTGCACAGACATCTATCAGGAATGATCTAGACCAGTGTTTCCCAATTGGTGCTCCGTGGAACCCTGGGGTTCCGCGGAGCACAACGAGGGGTTCCGCGAGGAGCCGGCGCTCCCCCGCCCCCTCTGAAAAAGAGAGAGAGCCGGCTAGCCAGCATGGAGCTGGTCCCGACCCCGCGCGCGCGACCTCCCAGCCCGGCCCCAGAGCGGCTCTCCCCCGGACCCGTCCCTGCCGCGTG